GGATGCAAGTGAATGATTAAAGAAATGCACGAGGAATTAAGTGCTTAATTGCCTTGACGACTTCTTTTACTTTTTGGCTTTTATGAATTTTCTTCTGAAGATTCATTTCTTGTTGCCTCTTTTTTTTGTTTCCTTTGAAATTGATATGAGAATAGTAGTTACCGTGTGAGACCAGTGGATCCAAATGCTAACTACTTAGATGTGATTTAAAAGTACTTTAAAATTCCGAAATCACTAAACCATCTTAAATTAACATGGTTGAATATGATGTTTGAAATTGGATAGTGTTAAAAAGACGATTTTTGAAACATTAAATTCACATTATGGAGACCGGGCTTTGGTGTGATGATGTCGATTATTAAACTTAGACTTTATCATGGGCCATACTAATATCTGCATTTTCTTTTCGTCATTACAAATACAAGACTTAAAATTGGTAGAACTCTAGATACCAAACACCTAAATCACATGAAACTTGAAAGCAATTTATTTGATAGTTTTCCAGATACAATTTTGAGTGAATTTGGTAACTAGCAAGACTGAGTGATCAAATTAGGAAATCAAAAAAGAGAATTTTTACGTTAGGTAAATAGCAAAAGGATACCGAAGAATTTGGAGTACAACAATGAAGAAAACGCGTTTTCCTTTGACTGCGCGTGGTTGAAGCATTTAATAACATGAGATGATGGTGTGACGTGAACAAGTGGTTGGGGAGTTAATTAGCATTTAATAACATGTCTAAGTTACAGTGTAATCCATGTTTAAATATAGCGTGAATTTTTTATTATAAATGCAGTTACATGTTTACTTAGATGTCTTTGAAACATAGTTGATTTCAATGGTGACTCTTATCGCCACACATAGCGACCATATTCATGTGGAACAAAGATGGTGATGTGTATGGAAGTTTGTACTTTACTATTGTTGTACCAGTCATGCATGGGTTTCCATATGCAGAGATGGTGAAATAAATTAGGAAAGATACTACCGGAAATGTTGAGAAGACACATTCAACTTCTAGAAACATGATCCAGACCCGACAACCCAAAGAGAAGGGAGAACTCAAGCAAAAGAACGTCGTTTACATGGCTACGGGATGCTCACCACGCTCGAGACATTGGAGTTATCTACTGATACGAATCCTAGTGGGGAGCTTTGCAGATACCGGTAATATACTAATCAACAGTTTCATGTATTGCTTTGTGTAGGTAGATAGGTGTGTGCTTTTGTTAATATCTCATTACTATATAATTTTTTTGTGCAGAACTAGCAACCCACGAGCAAGAGGTGGAGGACAATGTCAAGCCAAGTGGTACTTCATGTTTGGTTGGGATGCGACTCCAATTTTAGATTACTCTTTATATCACACATGTAGTGAGTATTTGAAACGTTAAATTCAATAAAACTAAATTAAGTTTTAAACATTTATTTGACAAAACATTATACAACATAGAAATAAAATAAAATGGACAACCAAGTATAAAAGTATATAGGCATCCTCAAACATAAACCCCCACGCAAAATTGTANATGGCAAACGTAAAAAAAGTATTAAAATAGTAACATGTGGAGATGCACATAAAATAATGGTTATATAAGTTCCTCAACAGACACGTAACATGAATTACATAAAACTCAAAATCTGAAGAATACCCACGGAAAATTTGTCGTCTCCTGATTATCGAGTTGCCAAACTTTTAACGCAATAACATGTCAACTTTTTCATCTTCTGACTCTGGATATGTTCCATCCCCAATAGCGAGGGATGAAACACGGACAACTTCGAGAACTATAAGTTGCAAAATCCTTGGACAATAACAGTGGTTTGGGAAAGAAAACGATGATTTTAACACGATTGCCAACCGCTTCTTCTATGATCTGCAAAAACACGTGTAGAGAGGATGGATATATCCATGCTCAATACACAAACAAAAAAAAAAATTTATCCATAATCGAACATAAAGATGAACAAATATGTATGAAAACCTATCTATTGAAAAAAACATTAAGGTAACACATAGATCCGTAACATATTAATTAGCGAAGTAAAACCTTATATATAAATCAAATATTTTTCCATGTGTGCAACACTAGCATCATTACATTCATTAGCCAAACTATAACCCTTCTCAAGATCTTCTTCACTAGTGGTTGGAATTATTGAGATAACATCAACCTNAACATGAAATAAATAAATAATAAAACAGAACCAAAAATAACTATGGATTTGAACCATTTGGACCATAAAAATAAAATATCATTGACAGACACGAAAACACTTATATGTACATGTTATAAAGTANACNCCTAAGTGTANTTTTAGATGACTATTTTGGTATATATATGTCAACACTAATATTTAGATATTCACATAAAAATAGCTATACATCTATAATTATATACATGTATAAGTGGTACAAAAAAATATCAAATACCGAGTCATCCTCATCAAATTCCCACAGTTTGTCAGACGGCTTTCTTCATCTCCAGATGTTGGATCAGTTTGTCACCAACATCGAGTCGATTTAAAACTACAAATAACAACCATATAATTCAGATAACCTAGTAAATGAAACCGTAAATCTGTGCAAACAAACGGTTTGTCTAAGAATGCGAAGAAAACATGGCGGTTTAAAAATCGATTGGAAAATCCAAAAGATGCAGAAAATAAAAAGATGATTAAATCATGATTCTAACAAATCTAGTACCAAAAGTAAACAAAAACAAGGGTTGAAACTTGGACAATTGGGCGTCTAGAAGATGACGAAGAAGAAAGATGAACATAAATACGCTTGAGAATAGAAAGAGAACTTAACAAACATCAATATTTTTTTATCACATCAACATTTCAATTACACAAACATTGCCAATTCACTTCGTGTGTCAAACCCATTTAATGCATGTGTCAGGAGAGAAGGAGGAAAGACCATCGCGCGTAAGATCAATAGGATCACATATGATGGTTAAATATTCTCTCTCTAGTAACAACGAAACTACTCTTGTTATTCTCTTAATTATGCTGAATAGTATTGTCATTGAATGCAAATATTCTACAATTTTTCTCGTATATAGACACAATCTGAACAATTACATTTTCTTAAAAAATAATAAAACTGTTGTAAGTTGTAACACAATTAAACTTTTCACATATTTTTTTTCCACATATCTCTTAATTAAAACTAGAAGCGATATTTTATGGGGTCCTATTTTATGTCAACCACAGAAACACAACATATATACCAACACCAAAAGTATCCAAGTATATACCAAATGAAGGTACCTTGCAAAAGTATATCCCCCACAGACTTGGACAGACCGACAAATTTATTTTGCTTCTATCACTATCAGGTTTTCGGCATTTTCTAGCTAGCATATTATACTAGATAACATATACACAAAAAGAAAAACACTCAAAACTAATTTGTAATTTGCTCAACGAATCATGGTTCTAAAAAATTTGTGAAAATACACAAATATACATTGAATCAATGAATATTTAATATAGAAATAATTTACTATTAATACAACAAAAAAATTATAATTTACAAACTAAACAAAAAACCTAAATCCAATGGCCAAGATTGTGCCACGTACCCCCTTTTTACTAACTTTT